AGCAACAAAATAATATTTTTTAAATATTTTGAAAAAATCGGTAAGACAAGCTATTTTGGGAATTACTTAACTTAATGCTTCTATATGCACTTTTTTTTCATTTGTGGTCTTCGAAAATATTTTTTGAACTCATTTGTTTGTAAATATTTCTTCAAATTTTAAATCTATAGACATGTTTTAGACAGCTGTTAAAGATATTTTAATTTGCAGCTTTATTAGCTATTTGTTTATCTTAACCATTAGATGCAATTACTGTGTTCTATTAGATCGAAACCTTATAAATTAATTCATTGTAATTTTTGTTGTTAGATTTTAGTGTTCTTATTAAAGTATAGTTCCTTTTTTGGGACATTATTACAAAGAACCTGTGATAATCTTATCCTACAATCGCTTAAGAGAATTAACATTGGGTCTTGGTTACCACTGACACACAATTAATAATATAGCCACTATGTTATTCCAACGTAATTGTATTACTCATAGCTTCTACTTATAAATAATTGAAGTTCTAAATCATGACGAATAAAGGTTATCATTCAATAAAATAAAAAACTTAACATAATTTTTATAGCTGTTTGTCTCCATAATTCACTTAAGAAAATTATGATAGTTTCAGACACTTCCGCTAAAACCATTAGCTTATTTTGTTATTTTGAAAGACATTAAATATATCTAGTCGACTTCAGATATCAGTGAAATCCATAAATTAAATGCACGAGTGCTATAATCTTCTGCCAGTATTCTTCACCGAATTTGAATAAATTGCAGCTCAGAGGAATTAAATTTAAGATATAACATATAATTCTCGCATTAAGCTAGCTTCAAAAATTCAAAAGTTTAGGATGTAGCAGAACTTTTGATAAACATAATTTTCCAATCCCCTAAAAAAAACTTAAGATAGTTATTAATTATTTGAGAAAGCTTCAGTCGTGCGAGCATAATCTGGATTCTTAAGACGAGTTCAATAGAAACTGTACACTGTGCAACTTCAATAAAACGGAAAGCATACAGCACTTCTTAGGCCATTATCCTATATTAGGGCCTTTTAGACGAGTTTGTTTTGAATGAGTTTTTAGTTGAGGAGTGGTTACTTTAGTGGAAGAGGAAATAATCAGTGTGTTTATTGGGGAAAATGATCCTAATTGGAAGAAAATTTTAATTTTTGAATTGTGAATAGTTTTAAGCTAGAAGTCAAATTTATATAAATCCAACACCGACACACTCCAACCGATTTTTTTAGATTTAAGGCATAATACTTATGTTAAAATATTTTGAAATAGGCAAGAAGTATATGCCTATCTACCTACTAATTATTTGCGGCTTTTCGACTCATGTAATACCTTTAACTATAATGTACTTTGCAAATGGATTCATATTACGTAGATTTTGGCCGACTTTCATTAATGGGAAATTGCAACATAAACCAAGTGCAGTATCTATCGTCAATTCCCAAAGCTATAAATTTTAGAATAATCACAGCTATAAATTTTAGAATAATTGTACAATATTTGATTTTACAAAACATACAAATTTTACAATTATATCTGGGAAGATTAAACACTTACACTTATCTTTCCAATTAAAGTGCCAACATTTAAAAATCATTCAACCTTACTATTAGCTCAACCTAGTGCTGGCTGGCATTTGCATCCGCAGCTGTCTGCAACATAATTAAATCAACGGAATTGATCTCATTAAACGGCGCGTTTGAAGTCATCAATTTCCGACTCCTACCGGCTACATTAAGTGATATTACAGGTTAGCTAAGCACGTTTAAGTGGCTTAAAATCATTCACATGGGCAGCGATGCTTCCGCAGCCAACGGCAACAACAAAAGTCTCGTCAACATGCATATGAGCCAGCACAGCCAGTCGGTTGCGTATATAATTAGCATTTCTGTTGTCTGTTATCTACATTCGAATTGATTTGACATTAGAGATTGAGATTTAAATACAATCGAATTAATTTGTCATTAACTTAGTAACTTGTTAAATTTTTGACAAATTTTAGTAAATAATTAGATGGATAGGAAAAGAGATAAAAATAAAATAAACAAAATTTGATGAATTACTTAACTGATGATTTTATACATAGTTCGTATATGAAGTGTATGAAGGTTTTTTTTATATATCTTGATTATATCTTAATTAGAGTTTTGAAAAATTTACTGATAAAAAATTATTATAAAATTAATTATAATAATATAATGAATTATTATAAATAATATAACTTTAATAAGAATAATAATTTTGAAACTCATGTCATCAATATGTAGTTGAAAGTTCTTTATGAATTCCTGAAAACTGAAAGTTCATATTAACAACCATTAGAAATTGTCAACAGTTGAACAATTAATAATAAAAATAGTTTTCTTTCGAAGCATTCATGATGAGTATAAATATAATGAATAATTTAGGCATTAATGGGAATGATTTGATTATTTGAATATATCAAATGATATTTGTGTGCTAATTTTGGTACCAAAGACAAATGTATGTAGCGACCTAAAAAACACATTTTTATATTTTTGAGAAACTCATCGTTACATTAAATCTTAGGTAAACTTGTTTTAGTTTAACAATAAATCTTACACAAAGTCAAATTTTTCAGAAAATTTGTATTTATACTTATAGCGTTTATATAGCGTTTATATAAAACGCTATTGATGGCAAAAATATATCCTGTTGGAAACATAATAAAGAGTCTAAAATCGGATTGATACCTATTTGGTACGTGGATGACATGTTTAGGATTCAACAATCAACATCACAACCTAAATGAAAACCAATCCAAAACAAACGTTATGATATTTGACAAACTATGTAATAACTGATTGACCCATGATGTTGCAGATTATATTCGATATATTTTAGTACTGGTGCAATGTTACTAATGAGAGGTCTGTAGCAAATATCGAAAATTATTCAATTTTGAATTTGTCCTTCAACTTGGTCATGTAAATAATGTTTTTTTACATTTTATTTCCGACTAAAGGTTACCTTTATTAAATAAAACATTTGTTTAATATTTTTTTAAAGTGATCTAAACTTAAACACATTTTATTGCTCTTAATATAATACAATTATATTTTTTTTAAATGTTTAAATGGGGATCATTACATAAATGAACATATATTCTAAAAATCACAAGATTAAAGTTATGATATTATACCGCTGTTAAATTCTTTTTTTTTTAGTGTTAATTTTTTTTGTCGATAGTGGCGTGTCTTTATGACGAAAGAAACTATTTAAAAGTTAGACGGATTCGAATAGCCAAGAAAGGACAAAGACAAAAATTTATTTAGTTTATTGAAATTTAGCTGACCATACAACGCTGTTTCGAGTATTGCCAAGTACTCCTCATCAGTGATCTTAGGAAATAATCGAATTTTTTAATTAGTTTATAGTCCGTGAATAATTTGCTTGGACTGCAAGTGCCCGGCTTAGAACTTCTGCCTGTCAAATTAGAAGCGATGAGTAATCGTGTTTATCCAGAACAAGGCTGCACAAACTTTCAATGCTCAAGTTCCAGGTTTTATGTCACTTATTTATATAATCAGTGACACTAACCAAAGCACTTGTCGTGCTTTTAAATTAGAACGAGCTTATAAACTACAACTTTAATTGGAAACACAAGTTCAACGAATTAAAAATTAAATTTTTGAAGTTGTCTATTTTTGTTTCAAAGCTATTTTTTTTGCAGAGATATCTGTTATGCATATTTTTTACTTACTATATGTAAGGCACCTTATTTGGGTGCAATTTTACAAAGAAGCTATGCAAATGTTTCTCTATTTTTTTATATACTGACGAAAAAGGTATCTGTACTTGATAATTGTTTAAATGTGTTATTGATTGGACACCTAAAGAACAAGAGGGATAATAGCAATACAGTGTAGCGGACCCGATAGACTTCGTTCTGTCAAAAAAATTTGAATTATGGCAGTTTTTTGTTCCTACCTATTTTATAGTCGGAGCAAAAAAATCTCCTGAACGAAACAGTCACCCTGGTGTGTGGGGTTCAGCTCGGGTGACCAAAGTATTTTCTCTTCCAAGAACTTTGGCCACTCTTCTGGGACCCACTAAAAAACCCCGACTGGGATGTCTGTCAGAGGGTTTCAAACTAAGAGGAGAACTTAGGTTTCAAACCTGAAACTGAAAGCAGCTCGATTCAAACTTGCGCGATTATGAGTTATTGTCGCGCTCGCTCTTCACGCGTTTGTGATATCCAAATTCTTTCCAGTTCATTTCGGTCGACATGTTCTTGTGCAGTATGATTAGATCGGTAATTAGTTTGGTTTGTAGCATTTCGGATTTTTCTATCTAAATTACTTCGTCTTACAGGAGGCATATCGAATATAAATTGTGCCACATGCAATAATTAGTGATCATAAGTAATTAAACACTTTGTACAAACACGATATAAAAAGAAAACTCAGTAAAATATTAGTATGTATTTAAATTATTTACAGCTCAGATATTAATGAGAGCATTTAATTATTATATATTTGAAATTTAAAATATTTGAAATACTGATGATGTTGCTTACACAACAGTGAGTGTTTGTAATGTAATATGAACTTTATGGAATAGTAATAATTCAATTTTTTCTCGCCGTAAAAACCATTCTTGGACTTCAACAAACATTTAAAAAAAAAGAACTTACCAAATTGATCCAGGCGTTGTTGAGTTCTGCGCTTATCAACACATTTTTCGATTCATTTTTATATAAACGATAGAACTCTACTGAATAGCAATAATTCGATTTTTTTTCTCGCCGTAAAAACCATACTTGGACTTGAACGAACATATAAAAAAAGAATTGACCAAATTGGTTCTGCGCTTACCAACACATTTTTCGATTCATTTTTATATATAAGATATATTTATTTAGATTATATTACCATATTTTTTTCGTTCAAATCATAGCAGATTAAAAAATTTTAATTTTTATACCGTATAAAATATTCGATTTTTAAGAAATCATTTTGTTCTTATTTTCTAAGGAGCATTACAATAAAATTCAGAATTTGGTTTGATAAGTTACCAATATTACTTTTTTATTTAAAATTCAATATATTTAAAAACGTATTTGCAGTAGAAAATATTTAAAGTCTGTTTATCACTTTTTCAGCCCAAGCAAAACAGATCAAAAACTGCTGTTCGCTACTTAAATTTTTAAGAATATTTATTGTTAAAATGATGGACAACCCTCCGAAGAGTATTCAAGCAAGTCGCAATCATGTTTCCAGTTTTTTTTCATTTCGCAGGATTAATTGGTTAAAAGTATTCATTTTACTGGTACTTGCAATACTAGTTTTAGGAATCGGTTATCAAATACTGAACAAATACCCTGTAAATAATACCACAAATTACAAAATTGTCATTACTGTAGTACCAAAACCTCAAATAATGAAGATTTGGAACAAAAATAATACTGTCACTGGTGATGCTGTCCACAATAATTCAAATTTCTTGCCTCAAGATTTGGCTAAAAAAACCGGAGAAGTTGTAATTAAATACAAGCCAAGTCCAGAAAGTGAAATAAGCAATCCTAAAGAGAACCGTGATGATTTTTTGGATACTTTCAATCAACCAAAATATATAGTTTATATTCAATTTATTGATATGGCGAAAGAGGAGGAAGTTATTGCATATACATTCGACACAGATTCGTTGAAAAGATTTTTGTGTAATGTACTTCAACTGTACAATAAAGTATTAAATTATAAACCAATTAAAAGATTCTTCACGGAAATTACCGAATCAGCTATTTTTATTGAAGAAGTGAAAAAATGCGGTGAATTTTTAACTAATGTAAATGAAGAAGATTAAAGTATTAAAACTGCTTTAATCATTTTTATTATGTATTTTATAAATAATTTTAATTTTTTTCTTAAAAGTATTTGTTAAATGCCGATAAAATATATCATTTAGAGTTTAAAAATGTGGTTTGATGAATAAAAGTAAAAGTTATGCTGTGTCCAAATTTATTCAAAGGAGTGTTCAAAACTCAATCTAAATTATTGTTTTAAAAATAAAGTTTTTGTTTTGAAGAGAAAAAGCAATGGGATGCATTACATCAAATGAATCTTCTCCCTCAAGAAGTTACAATAATTCCATTTGCCAGATGAGCAAAATAAATAATAAAATATCAATATTTAAACCTTGTATCAGTAAATAAATAGAAAAATTGAATTGGATTTATAGTTTCGATCCTAAAATATGAGAAGATACCAAATTCTATGAGATTATTCAAGTGTTTATCTAAGTACACAGCCAATAACTTGCTATGTCTCTGCCGAATGTGAGTGGACAGATAATAGTATCATTATGTCCCTACAAAATAATAGAGTCCAAAAATACTGAAAAGCATGTACGGGAAACAATAAACAACGTCCAAAGATACGAAAGACGAGTGACAACAATGCCTACAAATATAATAAACCTCATAAATACCATGGTCAACTACGAAACCACCAAAAACAAACCTATAGCTCCAGAATTTTACATCAGTTGTTATAGAAATAGAATATATGTCAAAATAATAGAATAATATGTCAAAAGCAATTAGACATGGTAATACTTATGTAAAAATATTTTTTTGAACAAGTTATAAAATTACACATGTCATATAAAAAATATTTACTGAATTAAATAAACAGTCATGAATATTAATATTAAAATGTGGTACATTGTCTTAAGCTGTGTTTACTATTGACCAGGTTTGTTTCAGTTGGTATATTTTGGCTGACGTTTAAGTGGTAATTGGATTTCATGAACTTTTATAATATTGTATAATTATAATAGTGTATAATTAAGATATAATTTACATGACTTTCAATTATGTATATGTATACAGCCGCGTTTTAAAGAATTTCCGACTTATGTTTTAGCAAAATTGCTTTTTTGCAATAGCATTTTATATTGAATACTTTTTGCATTTCAACAGAAGTAAAGTATTCTTATCTCTTGATTATTATATTCAGATGTTTCTCCAATGATAGGAAACAAGTGTAGCTTTGAGTTGAGATAACTGATGATCTAACGGCGAGTTTGATTTTATTTGGAAGCCTACATTTACATATTTTGCATTTATAAAAACCTTAGTTAATGCATGCCTGTTGTTAGATATGATTAAAATTTAACACTTACCACCTGTTACTATTTGGAGTATTATCACTAGTAAGTTTCACTTGCAGTACCCAACTTGAGCTAAAAATCTTGTACTACGGTAGTCAAGCGGCTAACGCAAAAGTAAAGCCATCGAAATACGAAAGTATAAATCATTTTTACCTGAACTAGGTAAACTATAAGAGCATAATATGATATATGCTGTATGGTGTATGCTTTCTCTGCATATTTTCATATTTTACGGGTATGGTATACAATAGTTTTATATAAACTTTTAATTAAATATTTACTACTCTAACACATTTTTCAACTCGTACTTGTACAACTGTATTCGCATCTAATGTATTTCGTGTGTCCTTTTTTTCAATTTTTACTAATTAGAAGCAACTGTCAAAATTTTAGTACTGAAGGAAAACATTTACTCAAAGCGAAGTAATAAAAAGGAAAAAACTTCGAGACTGCTTTTAATAATTTCATGTTTTTTATTTAACATTTCAAGGCATGACATAAAAAAGGAAAACTGCAGTGAAAATATTGCACATAAACAAACAAATTTAGAAGAGGTACAGGGAAAACTTTTCTCTCCTTATAAAACTTTTCCAACTGTCGAGTTCGTTATAGTAGTCGTCTTGTTACTCCTGTTAAGTGCGCAGCAATATTTTTCTTGTTTTATGTATTTTATGGTTTTATTTCTTTAATTGTTTGTTTTTTCTTTTCTTTCAAATAAACTATTCGAATTATACATGTCGGAAATTTAATATAAACATTTCCGCTAGAATCTCTATATTTAATTAAGTAAAATTGTTGAGGTTTTGATTTTTCCGAATAGTCTAGGCACCAGGATACCGACTACGGCTATGTTAACATTTAGAAGTACAGTATACTGATTATGAGGTATTCTACAAGATGTTTATTAAATATGTAAGATGAAGGATCAATTTAAAAGCGAAGAAGGGAGAAAGAGAAGAAAAGAACAAGACAAGGTGTATCAAATCTTTTGTAATACCTATTATTATTATTAAATATGTAAGATGAAGGATCAATTTAAAAGCGAAGAAGAGAGAAAGTGAAGAAGAGAACAAGACAAGGTGTATCAAATCTTTTGTAATACCTCTCCACCAAATGTTAGACATTGTGTTCAGGTCTTGTGTTTTCTGAATTTTAAAAGAATGAAGATGCTGTATGATAGTGTAGAATGCTCTACGCTCTATGTAGAATGCTCTAGTTTCTTCAAATTTCTTTACAATTTGCACTGAAATGCGCGCAGGTGGACAATCAAGTCAGCTTAAATCTCTTCGTAATGTATGAAATTTAAAAGACATTCAAAATATTCTAA